TCGCACTGCTGAAATTTTAGAAGTTTGTCCAAGAAGCTGCTGGCAACATATTCGAAGTGAAGATAATCCTGCAGATTGCGCTTCCCGAGGTATATTACCAAAGGACCTCATCGACCATCAAATCTGGTGGAATGGACCCGCTTGGCTATCTCAGTCACGTTCAGCTTGGCCACCCGTTAAGGCTAAGTTTGCTTTGTCGACAGAAGAAGAGGCAAGCTTGGAGGTAAAGGCCGAACCCAAAGTTAATCTACATATTTCCGACGACGCACAGTAGCGCCTTTTCTCATTTAGCGTTGCAAAAATCATATCTTTTGAACCAAATAAGGTAATCGAATAATTTAAACGGCATTGGACAGGTAATTCTTGTAAAATATATATATGTACTGCATGAAGTACCACGCCCACAAATACGCCTTTTTAAAGGGTATCAAAGTGAAAAAATAATTTTTTTTCAATGAAAACAATTTTTAAACAAAAATTTTTATTTAATTTTTTATGTTTATTTTTATGTATTTGCTCAAATAAAAATAATTTGAAAACTGAAAAAAATTTTTTTTTTTTTAATTCGAAGTGTAACCGCCACGCGCTACAGTTAGTATATTTCTTGAAATGTATGAAATTGTGTCGGTATTTTGGTATATTTTACCCTGAGTTGTTTTGGCTTTTTGCGTTGCATTTCCGCAGACGCAGCTCGACGCAGCCGATGAAAGTTAATTCTGATCCAGGAAAGATCCACGGAACTTGTAGTCATAGTGTAGTCAGTGGCCGGCATTGGCGTCAAAAGATATAGACTACTTTAGGCAGAAAAAGGTGAAAAAAATGGACACCTGGCAGGTAGCGATTTACCTGTAGAAGCCCAAACCAAAGTGTCGTTTTTTTTAGGTTCTTTAATAGTTTATGAATGTATCTATCATTTAAAGTAAAAACCATGACCATTGGTTTTATGGTTTTTTTGTAATATTACATGAAAGTCGACCAATTTACACATTTTTTTTTGTATGATGCAAAAAACGAAACAAAGTTCAACTTTAAATGCTCATAACTTCTAAAAAAAAAAACTTAAAATTGATTTTATTGCAGATTCTGAATCCTTGTTAAATTTCCTGTCGAATAAGTATGGTTAAAATCGTTTTTGCGAACATGACTTTTTTGATTTTTGCAACGCTAATTGTTCGAGAGGCGCTACTGTGCGACGGAAATTCGCTCAACTGTATGATCAATAAAATCTCCTCATGGTCTCGCTTACCGAGGATACTCAGCTACTGCTTTCGCTTCGTTCATCATTTTCGTGGAAGGACCCCACTCCAACCGTTCCTAGCAGCGTGGGAGCTACAATATGCACGATCTAGGATATTTGCGCACGTTCAGAAAGAGTTCTTTAGCATGGAATACACTCAGTTGAGCACCGGACAACAATTATCAAAGAAGTCCAAGTTAATCCACTACACGCCCTTCTTAGATGAGCAAGGAATAATGCTTGTTGGTGGTCGAATAGACAATTCTCTGGCTAATTATGACGCAAAACATCCCATAATTCTGCCTAAGGAATCTCCACTCGCTGCTTCACTGATTCTCTATCATCACTCTGCCTTGCTACACGCTGGTGTCGAATACAACTTTCATAGTTTACGACAACGATATTGGATTCTAGGAGCTAGAAACCTCGTCCGCAAAACTGTATTCAATTGTCGAACTTGCTTCTTGCAGCGAAGACACACGGCCTCTCAACTGATGGCAGATTTACCTGAGTTTCGAGTTCAACCTGCCCGATGTTTTCTTCACACTGGTTTAGATTATGCTGGACCTGTATCGATCAAAATATCTACAGGTCGGACGCCAAAGTTTGGAAAATCTTCGTTTGTCTATCTACAAAGGTGATACACATTGAGCTGGTCAGTGATCTGACAACATCTGCATTTATTGCCGCTTTTCAACGCTTTTGGTCCCGCCGTGGGCCCATCTCGGATTTGTACTCAGACAATGGCACAACTTTTCATGGAGCTAAAAAAGAGTTAGCGGAAATGCAACTGATCGCAATTTCCCAAAGTCAAAACGAAGAGTTTTCGAGTTTCTTGTCGAGTCACGAAGTTAATTGGCACTTCATCCCGCCCTCTGCACCCTATTTCGGAGGCATTTGGGAGACTGGTGTGCGATCTATTAAGCTGCACCTGAAACGAGTTGTTGGCAGCAGTGCACTAACATTCGAGGAATATTCGACCCTGCCCATACAGATTGAAGGACTTCTGAATTCTCGTCCTTTGTGCGCACCCAGCGACCACAGTCTTAATCCGCAAACCCCTTCTCATTTTCTAACAGGTCAGCCTCTCACTTCGGTACCAGAGCCATCTCTCCTGGATGTAAACATCAACAGACTGCAGCAATGAAGGCAATTGCAGACCAAGGTCCAAGGGTTCTGGAAACGCTGGAATCTAGAGTATCTCAACACTCTTCAAGCTCGCACGAAATGGCAACAAGATGCTCAGAACATTGCCATGAACACCCTGGTTGTGCTGAAGGAGTCAAATCAACCGCCAAGCAAGTGGTTGTTGGGACGAGTCGTAGAGGTGCATCCTGACCAGGATCAGAGGGTCCGTGTCGTCACAGTGAAAACAGCTAGAGGAACCTACAAGCGGCCTATTACGAAAATTGCTGTGCTTCCTTTGAACTGAACAGTCGTTCAGGGGGGGCCGGTATGTTGAGAAATAGATAGGTCATTTTCATTGCTTCTTTACTTGTTATTAATTTCATCTAGTCGCACCTAGAATAATGCTCATCACTGTACCGCTTCACATGAAAGCTTAAAAGCTCACACGCAAAGCCGAAAATGCAGCTTTTGTCTATGTATTAGCGCATCACGCGATCTTTGCATTTTTATTCTTTTCTGCACGCTGTTCTTCGCCAGTTCTATTGCTTCTTTATACTTGACCGCAACCGCACGCAAAGTCGCTTATCAAGCTTTGTACAGTAACGCAACCGCTCACCGCCCGCAACCCGCTTATAACTTTGTAAACCCGCTAAATCATTAATAAAACCTACAAAACTAAGAAATACATAATACAGTCCACTCATTCACCGCCAATTATTTTAAAAGTGTTCAAAGTAAATAAGAAAAAATTGTTTTTGCCTCGATACGAGGGTTGTTCAAAGAGTAATGAGACTTCAAACTTGGTGGTGAAAAAAAAGGTGTCGTCCTGGCGGCTACGATTCAGGGTCTCCAAAGCGTCCGAAATGAAAAAAATACGGAGTTATAATCAGAATAAATGTCATTTTCGGGTGACGGAACAGATTTTTTTTTAATTTTTTTAAACAAAATGGCGGCTATTCAAAAATTTCGATTTCGGGCTTTTTTTTGTAGTTAAGTGTAAAAAAAAATAGAAAAAAAATTAAAAAAAATCTGTTCCGTCACCCGAGAATGGTGACAATTCGGCGTCGATTCCACTTTGTTTAATGAAAATCGGTTTAGTTGAACTGGAGATATCATGGCCGCCAGTTCGAAAAACGTGGTTTCGAGATAAACGCGTTTGAAGTTTGAAAAAATCTCATTTTGCGAAGACCTTGCTTCACAAAAAAGGCTGTATTTTCTGAAGTATTTCGTATTCCTAAAAATCCTTTTGGGGACATATACACAACACCCCAAGCTATAAATAAATGCAAAAAAAAATCGAAAAAAAAAATTGTCCAATGAGAAGACCCCCTTATATAAACACTGACTATATTTTGTTACACAAAAGTCTTTATTTAATTTATTCTTATTTTATAGGGTCTTCCCTCAGAGTTTGAATCCGCATCCACTGTTCATTGAATAAACCCCCAAGGTTTTGCCGATCCGAAATTTCTAATTTTGCGCATATAAATTCAACCACCGTTGTTTGGCGATAGTTAGGCAATAGTGTTTCGGTGCAACTCTGATTTCTTCTCCTTAACAGTGAAAATTTTATTATTCACTTCGAAAATGTAAACAAAGGTTGCGGAATTACTCCTCCACCTGCTTTTTGCGCTTGCGTCAGCCCGCCTCTCCAGCTCGCTTTGGAGCGTTCTTAGGGAGACAGGGACGTTTTCTGATTTTTCACTTGTTAAATTTCCTGTCGAATAAGTATGGTTAAAATCGTTTTTGCGAACATGACTTTTTTGATTTTTGCAACGCTAATTGTTCGAGAGGCGCTACTGTGCGACGGAAATTCGCTCAACTGTATGATCAATAAAATCTCCTCATGGTCTCGCTTACCGAGGATACTCAGCTACTGCTTTCGCTTCGTTCATCATTTTCGTGGAAGGACCCCACTCCAACCGTTCCTAGCAGCGTGGGAGCTACAATATGCACGATCTAGGATATTTGCGCACGTTCAGAAAGAGTTCTTTAGCATGGAATACACTCAGTTGAGCACCGGACAACAATTATCAAAGAAGTCCAAGTTAATCCACTACACGCCCTTCTTAGATGAGCAAGGAATAATGCTTGTTGGTGGTCGAATAGACAATTCTCTGGCTAATTATGACGCAAAACATCCCATAATTCTGCCTAAGGAATCTCCACTCGCTGCTTCACTGATTCTCTATCATCACTCTGCCTTGCTACACGCTGGTGTCGAATACAACTTTCATAGTTTACGACAACGATATTGGATTCTAGGAGCTAGAAACCTCGTCCGCAAAACTGTATTCAATTGTCGAACTTGCTTCTTGCAGCGAAGACACACGGCCTCTCAACTGATGGCAGATTTACCTGAGTTTCGAGTTCAACCTGCCCGATGTTTTCTTCACACTGGTTTAGATTATGCTGGACCTGTATCGATCAAAATATCTACAGGTCGGACGCCAAAGTTTGGAAAATCTTCGTTTGTCTATCTACAAAGGTGATACACATTGAGCTGGTCAGTGATCTGACAACATCTGCATTTATTGCCGCTTTTCAACGCTTTTGGTCCCGCCGTGGGCCCATCTCGGATTTGTACTCAGACAATGGCACAACTTTTCATGGAGCTAAAAAAGAGTTAGCGGAAATGCAACTGATCGCAATTTCCCAAAGTCAAAACGAAGAGTTTTCGAGTTTCTTGTCGAGTCACGAAGTTAATTGGCACTTCATCCCGCCCTCTGCACCCTATTTCGGAGGCATTTGGGAGACTGGTGTGCGATCTATTAAGCTGCACCTGAAACGAGTTGTTGGCAGCAGTGCACTAACATTCGAGGAATATTCGACCCTGCCCATACAGATTGAAGGACTTCTGAATTCTCGTCCTTTGTGCGCACCCAGCGACCACAGTCTTAATCCGCAAACCCCTTCTCATTTTCTAACAGGTCAGCCTCTCACTTCGGTACCAGAGCCATCTCTCCTGGATGTAAACATCAACAGACTGCAGCAATGAAGGCAATTGCAGACCAAGGTCCAAGGGTTCTGGAAACGCTGGAATCTAGAGTATCTCAACACTCTTCAAGCTCGCACGAAATGGCAACAAGATGCTCAGAACATTGCCATGAACACCCTGGTTGTGCTGAAGGAGTCAAATCAACCGCCAAGCAAGTGGTTGTTGGGACGAGTCGTAGAGGTGCATCCTGACCAGGATCAGAGGGTCCGTGTCGTCACAGTGAAAACAGCTAGAGGAACCTACAAGCGGCCTATTACGAAAATTGCTGTGCTTCCTTTGAACTGAACAGTCGTTCAGGGGGGCCGGTATGTTGAGAAATAGATAGGTCATTTTCATTGCTTCTTTACTTGTTATTAATTTCATCTAGTCGCACCTAGAATAATGCTCATCACTGTACCGCTTCACATGAAAGCTTAAAAGCTCACACGCAAAGCCGAAAATGCAGCTTTTGTCTATGTATTAGCGCATCACGCGATCTTTGCATTTTTATTCTTTTCTGCACGCTGTTCTTCGCCAGTTCTATTGCTTCTTTATACTTGACCGCAACCGCACGCAAAGTCGCTTATCAAGCTTTGTACAGTAACGCAACCGCTCACCGCCCGCAACCCGCTTATAACTTTGTAAACCCGCTAAATCATTAATAAAACCTACAAAACTAAGAAATACATAATACAGTCCACTCATTCACCGCCAATTATTTTAAAAGTGTTCAAAGTAAATAAGAAAAAATTGTTTTTGCCTCGATACGAGGGTTGTTCAAAGAGTAATGAGACTTCAAACTTGGTGGTGAAAAAAAAAGGTGTCGTCCTGGCGGCTACGATTCAGGGTCTCCAAAGCGTCCGAAATGAAAAAAAATACGGAGTTATAATCAGAATAAATGTCATTTTCGGGTGACGGAACAGATTTTTTTTTAATTTTTTTAAACAAAATGGCGGCTATTCAAAAATTTCGATTTCGGGCTTTTTTTTGTAGTTAAGTGTAAAAAAAAAAATAGAAAAAAATTAAAAAAATCTGTTCCGTCACCCGAGAATGGTGACAATTCGGCGTCGATTCCACTTTGTTTAATGAAAATCGGTTTAGTTGAACTGGAGATATCATGGCCGCCAGTTCGAAAAACGTGGTTTCGAGATAAACGCGTTTGAAGTTTGAAAAAATCTCATTTTGCGAAGACCTTGCTTCACAAAAAAGGCTGTATTTTCTGAAGTATTTCGTATTCCTAAAAATCCTTTTGGGGACATATACACAACACCCCAAGCTATAAATAAATGCAAAAAAAAATCGAAAAAAAAAAATTGTCCAATGAGAAGACCCCCTTATATAAACACTGACTATATTTTGTTACACAAAAGTCTTTATTTAATTTATTCTTATTTTATAGGGTCTTCCCTCAGAGTTTGAATCCGCATCCACTGTTCATTGAATAAACCCCCAAGGTTTTGCCGATCCGAAATTTCTAATTTTGCGCATATAAATTCAACCACCGTTGTTTGGCGATAGTTAGGCAATAGTGTTTCGGTGCAACTCTGATTTCTTCTCCTTAACAGTGAAAATTTTATTATTCACTTCGAAAATGTAAACAAAGGTTGCGGAATTACTCCCTCCACCTGCTTTTTGCGCTTGCGTCAGCCCGCCTCTCCAGCTCGCTTTGGAGCGTTCTTAGGGAGACAGGGACGTTTTCTGATTTTTCACTCGCCAGTTCGACGCCTTCTTTTGCAAGTGCGTCCGCGGTCTCGTTACCGTCTATATCCTTACTGACTTAGTCGTGCTCAGGCTATCTAGTGACTCCCTGCTTGCCAGTACATTTTTGGAACTGACCGCTGATGATTGCATGGATCTTATCGCCGCTTGACTGTCTACAAACAAATTGACCGCCTCATGTGGACGGTTTATGCTCTACGCAAGCTCTGCTGCTTTCTTGATGGCGAATACTTTCGTCTGGAATATACTGCAGTAGCTTGGTAGCTTATACGACAGCCTCATTTCAGGGTCTCAACAGTATATGCCCGCTCCGACTCCTGCATCCATCTTGGAGTCGTCGGTGTATATATTGAGGTGTTGAGCAAAGTCCTGGCCTGACTTCCAGTCATTTGGTCCCATGAATATTGTTGTGTTTACATCCGGGCACGTTCTGGGTACCATGTAGTCAGATGTACTGCTCATATGTCGACCAATTGAACTGTGCCCGAAACCTTGTAGAGACCAGTTTCCTGATGCAACCCAATGTTGTGCCGCCTTTCCTGCCGTCAGTTGCGCTTGGATATCTAGGCGATATATACCGATTATGGTTTCGAGTGCTTTGGTGGGGGTTGAACTCAGCACCCCTGATATGCAGATCAGTGCCTGCCGCTGGGTTCTCTCCATAAGCTTATTATATGTTTTCTTCTCCGTGGCTTGCCACCACACTAAGACTCCATACAGCAGAGTCGGACGCACCACCGATATGTAGACTTAATGAATGTGCTGCTAAGCATCTTCTTGGATGCATGTAGCGCTATGGTAGACACTTCCGTACAAGTACGGCGGTTCTATTTCTGCTTACCTTTGGTGGATGGAGCAAATTGTAATTTGTGGACTTGTCCGGCGATGGCATTGCTTGAGGCGATCCATGGCTCCTGGACCAAAGCTATGTCGGCGGATCCTTGCTCCATGGCTATGAGGAGTTCCGCCGACGTGACCTTGCTCTTATGGAGGTTGAGCTGCAGTACCCTGATTGTCATGGGTACTGGGCTCACCTCCATACGACGGGTTGACTTCTACGGTCAGGTCACCGTCCTCTCCTTCGTCGGACTAATCCAGCGTCATTCTCTGGACGGCATCCACGATGGTTTCCAGACCTAGGTCCTTCTCCACCACTCCTGCCATTAGGGTGTAAGCATTCTTTCCCCCGGGATGGCGCTTTTTGAGGCGCAGGTATATGCTACCCATGCCCCACGCCATCTTCCTGTATCTGGGATAGAGGATGTCCTCTGCCTCCTTGTTTATATGGAGGACTGCACTTTGCCCTCTCTCCTTGGGTGATGGGGCCGCAACGTGCAGAACCTTCCAGTCCGCGGTTGGGCTATCCGGATTCTAACGCTTCAGCGCCCGGTCCGCTTGGATTGCGATGGGGAAGATTACCTTCGCCTTTGGAATGGATGGGATTAGCTCCCGGTCCACCACCTCCAGCTTGGTTCCCTCCCACAGCGCCTCTAACTGGCAGACCGCTTGCGTCGGTCGCTTTCTCGTCGGGTCATCCATGCACTTTAGGATTTTGACCCCATTTAGTCACCCAGCACCATCAAATGTGGGCATCGGAGCTTCGGGATCTTCTTCCATCCGTGCATACAATAAATCAACGAGCCTTAGGCCCCCGTTGCCGCTTGCTCCCCGGTGCCTCAATACAGGCAATCTCGGCTGAGCGTTGCCTTTTGTTGGCAAGCGTCTCCTCCACCGTGTTGGCGAATCCACCCGTCGATCTCATGTGGGTTTGGCGATCTTCTCAACGGCTCAGGTAAGCTTTACCTTGTCCTCTGGGAATAGAGCGGCTTTTTCCTGGAGCCGATTCTGCATGTGGAGGGTAGCCTTGTACTGCGCCTCAGCCTTTATCCCTTCGCTCGACCGCTTTGGCCCGTCCCTGCGCTGGGAGCTGGTACCTGGTTTCGAGGAGCGGAGAAGGCTTTTTTCATTCTCTTTGGAGAGCTGCACACTCTCAAGGTCCCAGTCTGTATTGAGTTAGTACGTGAGCGGCTTAACTTCCCCTACGTCGTTTTTGCGGCAGTACCGTTGCAACTGACATGACCTGCTCCCGTCACATCAAAGGTGTAACCGCTGGAGAAGAAGGAATTGAACCGTAGCCTTTGCCAGATACTGTATTATCACGGACGGAGCACGCAGCGATGCATTACCCGTCCCCGGGTTAATACAGTGCCCATTGCCCAGCCGGTGCCCTCGGGGTTCATATGGAGGGTTTTTAGCAGCTATAGAAAATACCAATAAAACTATAAATAATTTTAATAATTTCTAAGAGTTCCAAAGGACATTTTTCTGGTACATATATTTAAGTCTGCAGCAAAAGACATACTCCAGCTAGGGTCCATTTACTGGCTTTTTCCTTACTCTTCAGATTAAATGTCCAAACAAATGTAGGTCCCCGTAGGCTGAAAGGAAAGGAAAGAACCAAGTCAAATATAATAATGAATAAATTAATAAATACAAAAAAAAAAAAAATAAATACAAATAAAATAAAAAATTATAAAAATAAAGAATAAACTATATGATATAAATTTTATAATTTGTTTTGAGAGAATGGCTTTAATCTGAAAATACACTCGAAACGAGAAAACAAACAACTTTTAGGGTTTTTACGCGGCGTGCGTTGGATGTCTTTATTAAGTCGTACGTAAGTTGGTACTAACTACATGAAAAATAACTAGATTTAGGGACAGCGCATTGGAAGCTTGGAGTGTAAGGATGCTATGGCCAGGATAATGGCTCAGTCGGCCCAGGAGTCCTCTACAGAAAATATTTATAATTTTACGGAGACAGGCAGGAGAAAGGACGGGCCCGGAGGCCGGTATGTTTATTTGGGTGCGAAAAATGGGGCAGGCGATGGTCAGAAAACCCAGAAATCCGTGCAACCGGCTCCGCAAGCCGTAGTCCGATTGCCAGATACGGGACGAAGGCAAATCTTCCGAAGTCGGACCGATCCCGCAAGCCGGGGTACCGGTTTCCCCAGATCTCCGAATGGGAGCTGCCGGCTACGCAGAGCCACAGAAGGGATGTTGAAGCGGCGAGTCGATCCCGCATGCCGAGTACCGCCCCGCCGCCTCTGGGTGAGATGGGGTCGTCCGGAATCGGAGGAGACCGGTCCCGCAAGCCGAGATCCAGTTTCCCCGATATGCCCGAACAGAGGGATCCGGATGAGGGCCGCCGGCCACGCAAATCCATGTCGCCCTGGGTGTCTTGGAAAAGGGTTCCGGTTCGCCGCCTCGGCAGAGAAAATGTGGACACCTTACCAGGAAGAAGACCGATCCCGCATGCCGTGGTACCGGCCCCTCCTCTAAGAAAGGAGAAGCGAAGGGTTGCCGACCACGCTGGCCATGTGCCGGTGGCCCTTGCTCTCCAGAAGTAAGGTGGCGCCGGGAGGGTGATCTGCCGAGAGTGGGTAAATAATTTTTCGCTGTTGTGTTCATCGATATGTCCAGAGTTTATTTTATAAATGTTGGTAAACTTAGCTGTTTCCTAAACCTAGCTGTTCCCTTTCGCACTCCGAGTTCTCCCCCGCAGGGGTTGGTCCTTGGCCAGCTCACCAATATTTTATTGTAATTCCATGTTGTTCGCCGGCACGTGGTTGTAATTATCCAATTTAAATTCCTCCGTGGCACGTTTGGTCTGCTTGCTGGTTATCCGAAAAAGAGGCACGGCTTGCCGGGGCCCTTTTATAGGCCGCCGGTAGCGTCGCTTTGCTTTCGGCGTCGGGTAGAGCTTCGGGTGAGCTTCGGCTGGCTTCCTTATTAGTGGGTTTCTTATTAGTGCGCCCTTCGTTGGGTCTTTGTGTCTGTCGTTTTTGCCTAACTTAATACTAGTTATATATTACCTTACGTACTAAGAAAATCAACTTAAATACTGCAAAAGCGTTGCCCCGGTTGTGAGGCTCCCTCACAGGAGAAAAAGATGGAGAGGGACATTTAGAGGCTGGTAGCGTGATCACACTGCCTTTTGAAGTCATTGAAATGATTAAAAAAAGATTTGTCTTATGCGCTAATAAATGTAAAAAGGAAAGGGATCGAAGCAGGCCGAGAGCTTGGAACTGACAGCAGCTAAGCAGGAACAGAGAGAGAATTATTCATTGTGTTTTGGGAGTTCAGCAGCTACAGTTGAAATTAAGCAGATATAGAAGCAGAAAACGGAAGAAGCAGATAATAGGAAAGAAAACTTGCACATTTTTAGAAACATATAATATCCGAAAAATTATTATAATAAACGTAACACAAGAGGGAAATACCCATCTTACATTTGGGGGCTCGTCCATCTTACATTTGGGGGCTCGTCCAAACCTAAAATTGCAAGTCCGGAGAAGTTTAAAAGGCGGATAGCGGAAGGGAATGAGTGTGAAGCCGTATTACACTAGATCTGTCGCAGCGGATAAAACTATCAGAATGGATAACTTTGGTAAAGCTGGTGAACAGGAGAATGACGATGAAGTTAAAAGCATGCATGAACTTTCCGAATCAAGAGGAGAACAAAAGGCTGCAAGAAGAAGCATGCAGAATCGTGTCGGAACAAGTGGAAGGCAGACTGATACAGCTATAGCAGTTGAGAGCAGCTCGATCGACGAAAACACAAAAACGCTGAAAGACCTTGTGCAGCTGCTTGCCATAAAGTTTGGAGCGGAGGAGCAGAACAGTGGATGCTCGATTACAGCGGAAAGCTTCGCGAAAATTATTCCAGAGTTTGACGGAGAATCCATTCCAGTGAAGTACTGGTTCGACAATTTTGAGCAGAATGCTGCAGCCTACGGGTTGAACATAAAGCAAATGTATGTTCAGGCTCGGGCGAAAATGGTGAACACTGCAAAATTATTTTTGGAGTCTACGTTTCTTCATCAATATGCAGAAATGCGTATGCTGATGGAGACAGAGTTTAGTCGTCAATATGTGTGCAGTGCTGATGTCCATGAGCAGCTCCGTACTCGGAAGAAACGCAAGGACGAATCATTTCATGTATACCTACTGCAGATGAAAAAGATTGCGTCACTTGGAAACATCGATGTACGTTCAGTAATCCGTTATGTTGTTGACGGCCTAAGCATGAGGAGTGACTTTAGATACTCTCTCTATTGTTGCAAAACGTATAAAGAGCTACAGGAGCAGTATGAGGTGTACGAACGAGTGGGCGAGAAGCCGTTCAAGCCGAACAACGAGAGGTCGACGCCGGACAATAGGATGCAGCGCGAGTTCAACCACAGAAAGAATCACTGCTTCAATTGTGGATCTGCAGATCATCTTCGCAAAGATTGCAGGGCTGCCGTAAAATGCTTCAGATGTAACGAGGAGGGCCACATGTCAAGGGATTGCCCTGAATCAACTGCAGATGTTCAAGTTGTACGCAGTGCAAATCGCATGAAAAAGGTGACCATCAACGACGTGGAAGTGGAGTGTCTGGTAGATACGGGAGCCGACGTATCTATTTTGCGCAAGTATGTCTTTGAAAAAATACCGAATGTCATCTTGAGAAGATGTGCGTCGAAGCTGCGTGGGCTTGGAAAGAGGACGACGTGCCCAGTTGGCTACTTTTTGGCTGAGGTTGCAGTAGATCAGGAGTTGACGACACACAACTTTGTTGTAGTGGAGGATGCGGACATTGAGTATAATGCGCTGCTGGGTTTCGATTTCGTCTCGAAGTTTAACTTTTCGCTGTCGGCCGACGGATACAAGTTTTCTTCCCAGCTGGAGGAAAAGGCTTGTGAGAAGCCAAAGCAGTATGATAAAGAAGTGTCGCAGCTGATCAAGAACTACAAGGCCGTGAATACAGTCGCAGAAGTCCCAGTCAAGATGCGGAAGAAGGTGCTGAAGAAGCCGCCAACAGATGGATATATAAGAATCCTTGGCTATGAAGGAGTGACCAAGAAGCTGACCCGCTGCAATGCTGGAACAACCCAAGAGTGTTTGGCGGAGACGCCGCGAAGAGCAAGCCTAAAATCAGATCTGGACAGCAACCACAAGCTGCGTGAGTTGCGCAAAGCCCAGATTGATGGCACTAAGAAGGAGAAGTCACTAGCTAAAAAGGAGTGCCAGCTGCTGCAGAAGAAGTCGACCCACGATGAGATCTTCGCCCGCTGTCAGGAGTTGGCCTACATGAAGATGAGTGAGTCCCAAAAGTCGGCCATAGAGGACCGCAGAATTTTGAAAAAGAAGCAGGAAAGTCGAAGAAAAGAGACAAAGATCGAGATTCAACGAGCGCAGGAAGTGTATAAAAGGAATTTTGACCGAAAACGAAAACCGGAAGCTGATTATAAAGTGGGAGACTTAGTCGCTATACGCCGGACACAGTTTGTAGCTGGAAAGAAGTTGGCTGGAGAGTACATGGGACCGTACGAGGTTGCAAAAGTGAAGAGGAATGGGAGGTACGAAGTTCGGAAGGCAGCAGATTTCGAAGGACCAATTAACACTTCAACCAGTTGTGACTACATGAAGCTGTGGTGATATGTCCAGGACAACGAGGATGATTGGTCATCTGGGACAGATGAGTAGTCAGGAATGGCCGAATGTAAAAAGGAAAGGGATCGAAGCAGGCCGAGAGCTTGGAACTGACAGCAGCTAAGCAGGAACAGAGAGAGAATTATTCATTGTGTTTTGGGAGTTCAGCAGTTACAGTTGAAATTAAGCAGATATAGAAGCAGAAAAAGTCACAAAAGTTGAAAAGAAAACGGAAGAAGCAGATAATAGGAAAGAAAACTTGCACATTTTTAGAAACATATAATATCCGAAAAATTATTATAATAAACGTAACACAAGAGGGAAATACCCATCTTACATTTGGGGGCTCGCCCATCTTACATAAATGACTCGAAAATGACTTCAAAAAGAGTCGTAAGTGACCTTTAAATACGATTTAGAAAATAGCAAAGCAAAATTGTAAAGCAATCGAAAATTGATCATCCAGATGATTGAAATGAGATTATTTCTTGCTTTGCATTTACATATGGTCAGAGAGCTTGGAGAGCCTAATCGCGCACTTTCCCTTTTACGTTCATTCTGGAGTCTGCATTTTGTTGTTAATCTTTTTGAAACCGTACTTTTAAAAAAAATTCAATCGTTTGCTAATGTTCTCATTTTTAAACTCAGCTTTAGTAACTTGGTAAGCTCAGTGAGAATAGGTAATGTGTGCCAAAGATCGTGCAACAAATAGAAAGCGAGTGGAATACTTTTGTATTTATTGATATTATTTGTAAATTTGAATATTGTTATATCATATGTAAATATACATATATAATAATTTTATATATTCTCTATTCTAATATGACTCGAAAAAGAGTCCCTCATTACTATAAATGTGACTCAAAAATGATTCCCCTTATTGCTACTAAGATGAGTTGCAAACGTTCAAATTTCGATTAAAATATGACTCGAATAAGAGTCCCCTCTTGGCAGAAAGA